TCATCTATCTTGCTCAACTCCACACTATGAACTGCTTTGCTAGACCTGTCATACTCTTGGGATTTGTTGCTGGAGCTTGCAGCTAAGTTCTCAATCAACTCATAAGCAGCTTCTTTGGACTTAGTCATGAAATCGCCATTGCTAGCTGCATTCAAAGCATTCCTGTAATCCCAGTTGACACCATCATAAAAGGTTGACAGAATCTGCTCATCAGAGAACCCATGGTGAGGGCACTCTCTTCGGTACTCCTTGTACCTCTCCCAAGCTTCGCAGAAAGCTTCACCAGGTTGTTGTTTAAACGATGAGATCTTGTTCTTCAGAGCTGCAGTTTTGGCCTTAGTGTAGAAATGGTCCAAAAATGCTGATCTGCACTCTTCCCATGTAGTCAATGACCCAGGTGGTAATGACTTCAGCCAGCGCAAAGCTTTGTCCGCAAGTGAGAATGGAAAAAGCTTGCACTTCAAGAAATCGGTTGGTATCCCATTTGATCCAGTCGTGCTGCAAATCTCCTCAAAATTCTCGATGTGGTCCATCGGAATCTCAGCAGGAAGCCCATGAAAGAGGTGCTGCTTCACCAATGACATCAGCTGAGGTTTGATCTCAAAGTCTTGCCTCTAAATGGTTGGAGGAGCAATCGCAGCCCTGTTGTGATAGTAAGCATGCGGACTGTCCTTGTCTCCAATAGCAGGCTGTGGCTGCTCCCTGTCTTACTGCGCCTTTTGCAGCTGCTCCAATTGCTGTCGAAGTTGTTGTAGCTCGACAGCCATGTTGTCATTGTTGCCTTGATCGCCCATGTTGGCTTGAATAGGCCTTTGACGTCTGTTTTCTCGTTCGACTCTTGCTAGCTCGGTGTTCGACAAAGAAACAAGATTGGTGCAGTTGCTCCTTGTGGATATGTTTGACATACACCTGAAACACACACAAACAAGAGAACAAGAGAAAAAAAATTAGTAAAGTCTTAGTCTGAATTTCAAACCAAAAATCAAAGGTAACGAATTGGTCCCCGTCGCAACGGCGCCAAAATTTGATTCAGACTGGATGTACTCCTAGTTTCTAATGCAATAGAACAGTGATGTAGTTGTAATATAAAGGATTCGGAATCCAGAGGACCAGTGTTACTCTATGACTTTGGGAGGATTGAATTAAAGCTAAGACGAAAGATGGTTTGTTTCGAAAACTAAAAAGTAAACAGATTGGCAAACAACGATTTAAATTCAAATTAAAACAAGCACTAGACCAAAGCAATTCGCAGGAATTTCAGAGATAAGAACCAGATGACTATTCAGGACACAAGTGTAACGCAAGTCTCGAACTCAAACAGAAAAGCTTATCGATCCACTGTCGTGATCTCGATAACTTTGTCTAACAACCTAAATCCTAAACTGTCGTTTGAACCTAGAAAATTGCAGACAAGCATTAGCTAGCAGGTTTGATCTGTTCACGATTTGCCTTAACTTCAACTGTCGTTGGCTAAGGACAAATCGCTCACCAATGTTTATTCTAGCAACCTATTACACTTTTGATGAATAGATTAACCTAAAATCGCAGATTGAGTGATCAATTCAACCTAAGCATTAAGTCTAACAATGGTGAAGACAATAGATATCAAGCCCTATTTGCATCTAATTCTTTAACTCATGAAATTCTTTGAACGCTTTAATCTAGCTAAGAGATCTACTCAGACATGGAGAAAAGAAACACAGCAACAGATGAAAAGAAATTCATGGATTAAAATCGCAGAAGAGATAATAGGGTTCAAAATTCTTCTCAAAGTGTAGCAGATTTCTTCTCCCAAAAGCTTACAAGTAAAAACTCTCTGGTTCAGAAAATTGTAAAAAGAAAGCGTAGAAAGTCTGTAGAAAAACATGATAATAAAACACAGGCGGCTCTGGGCTTTTTATTCTTTCTCACGCGATTTAGGATTAGGTAAAATCGTTTTCTTTATTTTTCTCCCGTCTGGAGCAGGTGCTCCGCGGATGATTTCTCCAAAAGCGTGTGAAATAGCTCCTTATTGCTCAAATTCATCTCCTTTTGCTCCAATGCCTCCTAAACACTTCAATCCTCTGATAAGACTTCTAAGTCACCTGAAACTTCCTGAAAAGACTCCAAAAACTCCTAAAACAATTAGTAAACACAGGTTAGAATGAGTCAAAATTTCCACTCATCAGTTGCCTATCATCCCAACCATAATACATAAATATAAACCGATTGAATCATAAATTAAACCTCACTTTTTGGGTATAAGAATATATCTCACATTTTCGATGTTAAATCAGTTGAGAAACGATCGTTGTTGATAATGTGTTATAAATTATAAGTTATATATGTCATAAAATGAGACTTATGTTATATGTATATATGTATATAATATATGAGAGAATATATTAGAAAGAGACGAGAGAAAAAATAAGTTGAGAGAGAGAGGAAGAAGAATGCTTCTTTTTTCTTATTATTTCTCTTATTCATGTTTTTACTAGAGATCTTCTTACTACTTCCACAAAGAGCCAGTACACCTATTTATATCAAGTAAGAATACATAAAATAATAAGAAAGTAAGAGCATGATTATCCCAGAGAGGCGTGGTGATGGATATTATCCATTTCTCAAACGGTACAACAATTCGTCCATGTTCTAAAAATTTGTCGTAACAGCAAATGATCTCTTAACAGCAAATTTGGCGAACGGACGGAGGTCTTTTGACGGCAAGGCAAGAAAAACTTTCATTGTGTTTCTCGTCTATTGATTCCAAGAATAATAGTATACATATCGTATCCTCTTTTCCAGATCCTATTCATATTACTGCAGAACAGACAAGGCAAAACTCCTCTTGCCAAGTACTATGTTCCTCTCGAGGAGTCCGAGAAACACAAAGTCGAATACGAGGTAATCCAGTCTCCCTTTCTCTTCTCGTTTATTGCTTCTCATCTTATGTTCTTTTCCCCCTGATTCTTTCTTTAAATTTCTCTCAGGTTCATAGATTGGTGGTGAATCGCGACTCAAAAGTTCACAAATTTCGTTGAGGTTTGTGAGTCTTGCTTAACGAGACCAGAGTTTTAAGATTCTTGTTACAGGTTTTGCTAGGTTTCGAACAAAGTCAATTGGATTGGCCTTTAGATCAACACCAACAAATCAAGTTAGTTAGGGTTCTGAATCATGCTTATATCATATATCAATATATCATATCTACTATGCAGTACACTGGTTTCATTCTCTAAACTTGTCATCATTTGCATGTATAAGTGAGATTTGTTTTATTGTTTTACCGTTTTTGCAGTTTAGAACGCATAAGGTTATATACAGGCGCTATGCTTGATTTTTTTTTTTCTCGTTGTGCGTCGACATAACGGACAATGAGTTGGCTTACCTTGAATGTATCCACTTGTTCGTCGAGATTTTGGATCATTTCTTCAGCAATGTATGTGAGCTTGATTTGGTGTTTAATTTCCACAAGGTACCATCTTCTTACTTTCTTTCTTTTGTTTTTTTCTTCATGTAAGTCCTCAAACTGTTTCAATCTTCTGTTTTTGGTGGGCCGCATCACTCATATAATCGTTGAGAATGATTGTGTCATGGTTTCTTCTTTACCTATGATTAGCAAATTCCTCGTGATATTTAACTAAGGGCTTTTTGGAAAATACTTAGTGATGACTTTTGTTTGGCCTTATGATATTCAAGTTTGTGTCTCTTTAAGGAAAAAAGACTGATGTATATAAATGTGTTGCTCCGAAAATCAACAAAGAATTCTTTGTTGATTTTATTTACTTACTAATTCACAACGGTTAGTGATGATTCTTCTTTTGGCCTTAAGTTATCAAGCTTGTGTTGATTTTATTTGTTGATTTTATTTACTACTAATTCACAATGGTTAGTGAGGATCCTTCTTTGGCCTTACCGTAGGAAGCTTGTGTCTCTTTAAGGCAAAAAAAACTGATAGATTAAATGTTTTGCTCCAAAATTTCTGTATTCGTTCTTTGTTCATTTTGCTTACTTACTAATTCACAATGGTTAGTGATGGTTCTTCTTTGGCCTTATCAAATCAAGCTTGAGTCTCTTCAAGGCAAAAAGACTGATGTATAAATGTGTTGCTTCGAATTATCTATATCTGTTCTTTATTTTTGTTAAATACTAATTCACAATGGTTGGTTCATCTTAGGTATACTTAATACTCGATGAATTCATTCTTGCCGGAGAGCTTCAAGAAACAAGCAAGCGGGTGCTTATAAAACTTTTTTTTCCCTAATCTCAAGCTTTCTTTTTTTTTTCCTCTTATTGTTGGCACTAAACTGAAAAAAAGAAACTTATTCTTCAACTCTTTGTTGTAGGCAATCATTGAGAGGATGTCAGAGCTTGAGAAGCTAGACTGATGAGAGATTGGGAGATTCAATGATTGTCAAGAAGGAGAATTAGCAATAAGAGTATTTTGATTTGCTCTTTTCTGTTATGTTCTGTCTACAGTTCTCTGTTTCCAGTGAAGCTTAGCAGACCTTAAACACACTTTTGTCATTCTGATTTTTTTAACCTCAAATGGTAGAAAAAAATATATATATATATATATTTGGACTACTAGAAGGAACACTTGTGGTATGAGACAATGTATTCAGATCCTGCCCTTGCGCACAATGGTTAGACAAACAAAAAACAAAAACAAAAGTAAAAACAGCATGCTTTGTGATACACCCTTTCAAGTTGTATCAGTTACATAGATGCAGAGACATTGTCGATGGTGATTCAATGAATTTCAAAATTTGTAATGACCAGCTGATTATGTATTACAGTATGATGACCCATTTTGTAGTGACATTTTAAAAATATTTGAAAATGTCATATCTACTAGATATTAAAAAACAGTATTTTTGAGGATGAGATGACAACCTTACATCAACCAAAACTCGGAAAAGTCACAGTTCCTACAACTACTTGGTGCTCTACAAAAAAAAGCATATTAATACATTATACCCTTATTTTTATCTCTATTTCACATACTCTTCTTAGCCTCTGGACTTTGGTCAATAGACTCCAATTGGTTCGTGATTATCCTCAAGCAGCCTATCATATTCCATAAGGAACCCATCAGCTTGTTTTCTCAGAGCCTCTGTTTCAGCTCGTGCTCCTTTTAGTTCTTTTCCTTTGCTTTCACTTTCCGATTCTAATTTCCCGATCTTCGACTTCAGAGCCGCGATTTCTTCCCCAAAACCTCTATTCTGTTTCTGCGCAGTTTCCATTGTCTTCCTCAGTAACCGAAGCTCTCTGATGTAATTGTGTAGTCGATCAATCATGAGTTTTTCCTAAAGAGTAATCTAAGCTCCGATCCACTATTCCTAATTTATATTTTTTTTTCGACTAGAGAGCTTGAATTTGCTCTTCTTTTTTTTTTTTTTTTTGAGTTGTGTAAGCTGAATCTAGAAAACCCATGAAATGCAATCTTCTTTCTGTGTCTGATTGGATCGAGAAGTCGCCTGAGATTTGATGGAAGTGAAGCTTTTTTTCTCCGAGTTTCATGGAGGTTGTTGTAGTCCCGTGTGGTTCATGTTCTAGGCTCTTAGTCAATCTCCAGCTACGATTCGCCGCCGGTCTTGCCATTTACGGGGTAAGTTTCTCTTTAAGCGGAGGATTTATGGTTTTGGGGGATGAGTGTTTCATTTCTTACGGATTCGTTTGATTTTGAAATGTGGGTTTTGGTTTCTGGGAATTTGAGCTGGGTATTCCAATTTTTCTGTTTGTTTTTGGGTCAATTTGATCCTCAGCTAGATTTTGGAAATTTTCATGATTGTGATGTTTTTGATACTTACAATTATCAAAATATTTGCTCTGAGCAACAAAATTAGAGCTTAGGTTCTACAATCAGATCTCTGTTGCCTTATTTTTTTCTTCCAATTTCAACTTTCCCTTTTCTGCAATTTGCTCATTTCGTTTTGTTAGAAAGTTATTGCTATTGATGGGCATTTTAAGTCTGCTTTAATAGTTTCAATTGCAAATCTGCTACATTTTCTTGTTTATCTTTTTGTTTACAAGAATTTTTCTAAAGCGTTGAAAACATTATTTTGTTTCAGATTTTGTTGATATTATTGTGGTCCGGAGCTGCTGATGCAAAATCCAGGCATCATCATCACATACCTTTACAAGGTCTAGCAAGTGGAGTTGATGGAGAATCTTCTCATTCGTGCATCCATGATCAGATCATAGAACAGAGGAAGAGACCTGGTCGAAAAGTATATTCGGTTACTCCTCAAGTTTATCACGAGCCAAGAAGTTCAGCAAAATCCAATCCTCATAAAGGAAGGGTACTTCTCGGTGTTTCTGAGGAGCAAAAAGATGTGAAACAACCTATCAGGATTTACTTAAACTATGATGCTGTTGGTCACTCACTTGACAGAGATTGCCAAAGAGTTGGCGATATCGTGAAGGTGTGGTCTTGGTAGCTTATAGAAGTGTGAAATTTAATGATTTATATGTTGCTGAACTGTTTTGTTTTATGCTCTAACTCAGTTGGGTGAGCCTCCTTCAAACAGTGTCCCTGCTGTTCCTGCTTGCAATCCAAGTGTTAAGCCTCCAGTGTCCGGTGATTGCTGGTATAACTGCACTTTAGATGACATATCTGGAGAGGACAAAAGGCATCGCCTACGCAAGGTTGATTTGAATTTTTTGTGTGTCTTAGATATATGAGTGGTATTGGTTACGCAAATGTACTGATTTGTGTATCTTGCTCATGAAGGCTTTAGGGCAGACTGCAGATTGGTTCAGAAGAGCCTTAGCTGTTGAACCTGTGAAAGGAAATTTGCGTTTAAGTGGATACTCTGCATGTGGGCAAGATGGTGGTGTGCAGCTTCCTCGTGAATATGTCGAGGGTATTTCATTACTATTTTGCTCTCTGATTGGCCGTTTTTTTGTCCATTTATCTTGTCTTGCTAGGTTTGTTTTGGTCTAATCAGCCCATTTTTAAAATCATACAGAGGGTATTGCTGATACTGATTTAGTTCTGTTGGTGACTACAAGACCTACTACTGGTAATACTCTTGCATGGGCTGTAGCTTGCGAACGTGATCAATGGGGACGTGCAATAGCTGGTAATTATCCATCTTCTTCAGTTGATTAATCTGAAGTCCCTGCATTGCTGTGAAATTAATTTGAAATTAAAATCAAGAATATTGGTCTTTTTTAGGACATGTCAATGTTGCTCCCCGCCATTTGACCTCGGAGTCTGGGACTTTGCTTTCAGCAACACTCATTCATGAGGTTATGCATGTCCTTGGCTTTGATCCGCATGCCTTTGCTCATTTTAGAGATGAAAGGAAAAGAAGACGGACTGAGGTATATAATGAAAATCAAATTGTCTTAATTGAGAGAAAAAGTTAGCTTTGATTAGCATGCCTCGTGCTTTTTCTTTTTCATATCTAAGAGAGAGCACTGGATTTTCTATACAACATGACCTTGGAATAAGCCATTATTTTTCAATTTTAGGTCACTGAGCAACAGATGGATGAAAAGCTTGGTCGGATAGTAACACGCGTAGTGCTTCCACGGGTTGTCATACATTCGCGGCATCATTACGGCGTGAGTTTAAATATTACCTCCTCAGGAATCCATGCATCTTTGCAACTTATGTCCTAAGAATGTCAAATGTTCAACTAAACAGGCATTTTCTCAGAACTTCTCCGGTTTAGAACTTGAGGATGGAGGAGGACGTGGCACATCAGGATCCCACTGGGAAAAGAGACTTCTCATGAATGAGATAATGACTGGGTCAGTAGACACAAGATCAGTCGTTTCAAAAATGACTTTAGCGCTATTAGAGGACAGTGGCTGGTATAAGGCTAATTATAGCATGGCAGACCGTCTTGATTGGGGGCGGAACCAGGGGACTCAGTTTGTCACATCTCCATGTAACATGTGGAAAGGCGCCTACCATTGTAACACAACCCAACTATCTGGCTGTACATACAACAGAGAGGCTGAAGGTTACTGCCCAATTCTAAGCTATAATGGAGACTTGCCACAATGGGCTCGTTACTTCCCACAGGCTAACAAAGGTAAGTTCTGTTGACTAATTGCAACATGCTGATATGCCATATTCTTAAGTTGTTCTTGGTGTTCTAAATGTTAATTTGATAGTTGATACACAAAATATAATTTGCAACTGTCATGGTTGTAATATCTAGAAAGTTTAGTGACTCCAGTGTAGGATTTAGTAATCCAATGCTGTATTCGTTTCTAGTTTGTTAAAGATATTCTAATGAATTTCATACACAACATATTGCAGGTGGTCAGTCTTCCTTGGCAGATTATTGCACATATTTTGTTGCCTATTCAGATGGGTCTTGTACGGATATCAATAGTGCACGTGCACCTGACAGAATGTTGGGTGAAGTGAGAGGGAGCGACTCCAGGTATAGCTAGTCAAATTTCTCATTGTATGTTTGCAAATATTCACATGGCATATTGCTCATGAAAGAGTGTCTTCTCTATAGGTGTATGGCCTCATCTTTAGTGCGTACTGGGTTTGTTCGGGGTTCCATGCCACAGGGGAATGGTTGTTATCAGCATAGATGTAAAAATAATTTGTTGGAGGTATGCCGTCTTCATTTTTTTCTTCGCCGTAACGTTTTTGTTTGGGCATAAACTGTTATGGTTGTAATGTTTTCCTTGTTATCCACAATGCCCTTTTAGGTTGCAGTAGAGGGAGAATGGAAATTCTGCCCTCAAGAAGGTGGACCGATTCAATTTCCCGGTTTTAATGGTCAGAATGCTCTTTATCTTCCCTAAAGAAGAAAATACATATTATGATGAAATGGTTTGAACCATAAGTGTTTTGGTTTATAGGTGAATTAATTTGTCCGGCTTACCATGAACTCTGCGGTACACTCGTAGTTTCTGTGGGTGGTGAGTGTCCTAGTTCTTGTAACTTTAATGGAGATTGTGTTGATGGGAAGTGTCGTTGCCTTCTTGGTTATCACGGTCATGACTGTAAAAACCGTAAGAGTTTTGTATCCTTTACATAAAGTTGTACATGTCAAGGTCTTGTATCTTTCCGTAAGATCTGAACTTACAAATTATGTTTTTCACCACGCAGGTTCTTGCCCTAATAATTGCAATGGACATGGAAAATGTACAACTCAAGGTGTATGCATCTGCGAAAATGGATTTACTGGAATTGACTGTTCCACCGGTAAATATCCATATTTATATAGTTGATGTAAAGAAAACATTGTTCAATATTATATCTAACAACAAGATTCTTTTCAAATATACAGCCGTGTGTGACGAACAATGCAGCCTACATGGAGGAGTGTGTGATAATGGGGTTTGCGAATTCCGTTGCTCTGATTATGCTGGCTACACATGTCAAAACAGCTCTAAACTAGTTACAAGTTTATTAGTGTGCAAGGATGTGTTGGAGAGAGACTTATCAGGGCAACATTGTGCTCCAAGAGAGCCTAGCATACTCCAACAGCTTGAGGAAGTCGTGGTCATGCCAAACTACAATAGGCTGTTTCCGGGCGGGGCTCGAAAGTTATTTAACATTTTCGGTAACAGCTATTGTGATGAAGCAGCGAAAAGACTAGCTTGTTGGGTAAGCAGCAATCTGTTGGAATTTATATAGTTTTTCTAAGTTTTCCCCATGATTATAAATGAGGCATGACATTTTGTTTTTATAATCTCTCTAAACCAGATATCAATCCAAAAGTGTGATACCGATGGAGACGATAGATTACGGGTATGCCATTCAGCATGTCAGTCCTACAATATGGCGTGTGGGGCTTCCTTAGACTGCTCGGATCAAACCCTTTTCAGTACCGTGGAAGAAAGCGATGCAGAATGTACCGGGTCAGGCTATGTCAAATCGCCATGGTTTAGTCGTTTGTGGAGTAGATTTGTAGCAAGTAACTAGGAACAATTCTTGGGGGGGGAGGGAGGGGGGATGAAAGATTTGTGTGTACAACGTCGTTAGTGAGGAAGAGTTATTATTTCGAAGTGTAATTTTTTCTAGGGTTTATATGGGCAAAAGAGCACGCAATATGTGAAATCCCCTACCGTGTGGCATAAGTTAGGGGTCTTGCTTTAGCCCACCTGATAGGTGAATTAGAGTGTCTTTGTCTGTCTTTCGAATAATATGTATTCGAATATCTATTATATAGGAAGATGATTTATAGGCCGAAGGCCTGTCAAGAAGAAAAATAAAAGTGAAATTATTTTAATTGTCTTCTACTTAGTTTATATATGCGTCTCTTTAATGGCATCTCCAAGCACAAGATTTTCAAATGAAGCTTTAAACTCAAAAGAAAAACTTCAATCTTTGAGACGTTTTGGTTTTAAAATTGGTGTCCCCATATAAAAATATGTAAAACTTGTTATTTACCAGATAAAATGAACAATAAAAAGAAAAACATGTTTGACCTAATCACCCTTAAGTTTAAGTAGATTATTATCTCCTCCTTTTGATTTCAAGATAACTTCCTCAGACCACCTCCAATGGTATAGTATTAGGAGGGGTTCTAATTGTTTTTATGATTTAAAATAAATGTTTTAATAATTAATAATGCTTGAGCAGTCTCTAATTTTAGAGATTCAAGAGACTGAGTTCATAAAAATGTGGCACACTTTCATTGGTTAATTTTTTTCTGGGATACTCTCTCTCCTCATTTCCTTTCTTTTCTCTTTATTTTTAAATGTGTTTTTTTGTAGAGACTTCCTCTTTTCTCTCTCCTCTCAAAATTTATTATTAAAAATTGTTTTAGAACTTATGCAACTTAACGATGGGCATGCTCTCACTTCTTTGTCACGTTAATATGTGCATCTCCTCTATGATCTAGTTATTTAACGTATATCTAATTTAGAATTTATTTTGTTTATTGTTTCAATGTTATTGTCAATGACAGCTCATCGTTGTTGAAATAAAGCCACACCAGAGATTGATAGTTCGACTGGAAAAGAACCTTAGAATAATTTAAGAGGTTAGATGATCGATAACAGCTGGACGGATAATAGACAATCAACTCTCTTCAGCTAAGTGACACATCAGCAATGGAGAAAGTGACATGTGGCACATCTAAAAATTGATAAAATAAATAATTAATTAAATTTAAAACAAAACACATTAAAAACATAAATAAAGATTAATATATATATATATATACATTAGAATGCAATTCAAATTTAATTTAAATATAGAAAACTTATAAATTTTATATAAGATAAGATTTTTTAGATGCACTATTCTATTTTCTTTTTTCAAGTGATTTAAATTTCATTTTCAAACTAAAAATATACTAAATTTTAATGCAAATAAAAAAAATTAAGACTGAATAAATTACGAAATTTCAAATATTCTTATATAAAACTTCTACTAATAAATTAAAAAACACAAAAATATTTAATAAACGATTAAAGAAATAACAATTATTTATAAAAAAATAGTATAAAGAAAGATGTGCACGTAAAAATATCATACATGAATTTAAATTAAAAAAATGGAATCAATAAAATATATATAACTAAAAAATTCAAAATGGTAATTAAAAAAGTTAACAAGTATTATATTAGTAAGATTTACAAGAATAAAAAAAATATGAAGATCGAAGAACAAATAAATATTCCTCTCTGATATTAAACGTATATTTATAAGTGAATTATTACGTTTTCATACAAAATTTAAAATAGTATATTTTTAATCCCTTATTATTTTGGAAGAAAAATTAGACTATTTGGCACAACCAGTGTAGAAGAGATTACAAATAATGTATCATCAAAAAGAAATCAAGGAAAATATAAATATTTTAAATGCAAAAACATTGATAATAAACATAAAATTCAATACAAATTTTAAAAATATAGTATTTAAATATATATTAAAACAATATCCGCGTATACACGCGGATTCTCTCCTAGTAGTTAATAATATTAAAGACTAGTTCTAGGGGAAGTATGAGTTTCGGCCAAGAACGTTCTAGTTGTTTAAAAAAAAAAATTACTTGAGTTTGTAGTGGCTGAAATTAAATTTGCAATGTTTCAGAGTTATTGTAGTAATATCAATTGTTGACCATTTGCAAAACCGAGAAGAATTATTTCTTTTACAGACCACCTACCTAATTTACAAAAGATCATTGCTATATATTTAATTTTCTCTTTATATGTTACCATCTTCTATTATTATTTAAAATGGACAATTTAAAAATGATATTTATGTCATGTGTGATTTACAAGAGTGTCATGCTGATGTGTCATTATAAGAGAGTTTTTCAAAACACATATAAAAAAATGCTTGCTTTACTAGAATAATTACATCATTTGCCATTAACATTAACTTGGTTAAAGATTAGTTTATCAATTATATATTTAATGCTTAACATTTAATTTGTAAAAATATTCTTTCTCTTTCTATTTCTTAACAACAAATTTATAAAAATTTAATACAAAATATTACTTAGGTTACTAAAAACTATATTTCTTTATATCATATTTCTTTGTTCTTAATTTTGTTTAAAAAAATCACATTATCCATTTAATAAAACAATCTAATTTTTTCATGCATATTATAATTAAATATTTTTCTATTACAATTTAAATATCTTAGTGTGATGTTGAATCGGTTAGATAGAACGTATTAATCCAATTTAGTATATTAAAATGTGCAATTTTATTCATATAAAAGATATTATTATAGTTAATTAGAAAACCAACAATTATCTATCATTTATACAATTATACTATAAAATAAATATAATTGTAACTATTATTTGTAATGGTATAAACAGTGCATAAATTTGCAACTATAAATATCAGTTAACATTTTTAATTGTATTTATATATATTATATTTGTATATTTAAATAAAAAATTGTGATTAATATTTATTCCGCACAGGATGCTGGTAATCACCTAGTATATTAGTATTCCTCAATGTATTATTGTAAAATTTATCGTTGTTGACTGTTTATTTGAGGTCGAATTTATTATTGTTCAGATTAAACCTTTATTTGAGTTTACTGGTGTTGGGTTATGTTTTATAGCTTCACTGATATAATACTCGGGAGAGCCTTATACTGAGTGATAGGTGTAGGACCAAATTTAATCAAAATCCAATTGATACCGCCGGTGAGAGTTCCACACCTATTAGAGCTCGATTCGAATATCTCTCTTGTCCACACACTTCTAACGCTTTTAATGCAGCACAGGTGGAGGAGATTTCTCCGATCATAGAATCTCCTCCATGCCCAACTACTTTGTCTCAAACAGTTGGAGTTGAAACCAGCACTGTTTCGCAGGACATCGGGAATGAATTAATTCTCAAAATACCTCACTTTCTGTTCAGGTGAACTCTACCTTCTTCCCAACTACGCAGATTCAATCTTAGTTTTATACTATAACAACAACAAAAATGTTGAAATGAATAGTACAAAGTAATTTATTATCACAGATAGTCAGATACAAAAGAATTAAACCAAAAAAATAATACACTCGGTGAAAATTAAACCACTAGGTACTAGCAACAGTAATGTTATCTTTCAACTTGATGAATATTTAAGAACTTATTTAACTTTAACTTAACATTAGACCTGTGAAGTATTGAGTTTAATTACTCTTATTAACATCAAAGAAGCTCATCAAGAAACGACTTCCCTTTGAATTTCTCAACCTTAAATCCCATCTCCTCCATCCGCGACCGCTCTGTCTCAAGCTCAGTCAGCTCTGCCTTCATCTTCTCGACACGCAACCTCGCTTTCCTTACTTCCTCTTCAATCACGGCCAAATCTGCTTCCTCATTCTCTAATTCTTGTTTCTTAGACCTCAGCGATACTTCTTGTCTCTCTTTCTCTGTGTCTGCGTTTTCTTGATACTGAGCAAACTCTTCAAGAACCGAACGTAGCCAGCCAACATCAATGTTCACAGACTCCAAGTCCTTGATAACCGCGAGCATCTCTTTCACTTTAAGTTTGGTCATCTGCGCAACCGGGGTTGATCCAAGTTCTTGCATCAATGAGCATAGGCACTCTAGGTACCTTGACCTCATCGATGCTGATTCTAGCCTGCAGTTTGCGGCTATGTCTCCGTGTTTGCCTATGATTGACCTTAGGATTGTGGAGACACAAGAGTTCACACGGTATTTTCCAACCGAGACACATGAGTCCGACATTACTGATTGAAGGTCAAGCTCTACTCCGTTCTCATCATCATTGTTTTCATCATCATCATCATCATTTGCGTCTGATCTTGGAGGGCTTACGACATTGAAGATACTAATCTCACTGGCTGTGTTATTCTTGCCACTCTGTTCATGCTCTCGAGATCTTGGTGATACGGTTTTGCTACGATCAGCCTGAGTAATATTAAAACAAATCAGAACATGTCAAGATGACAATCTCTACTTGTTAGATCCATCCTTCTAATATATGTTTTGATACACCTAAATAGATGATAAGTGAGAGAAGGTAATCAAGAAATACCATGTTGTTTGGGGATAGAGGAACCATCTGCAAGGGCCTCTCCGGCTTATAGTTAAAAGAATCATGCTGACCGTTGAGGTCAGATGATAAAGCCGGGAAAGATTTGTTCGCCTCTGTAATCGCCACCGTCTTCTTCACAGCTACTGGTGAAGGTCTTGATTGATGAGCCCTTGGCGAATTGGCGGTACCGTTCTGATACTGCCTTGTGTTCAGAGGTGACGGTGGCTGTGATTCCGTCTTTTTCTTACCAAAACTCCCCGGGAGGCTAAAGTTCTTTGAAGCTGTAATAAACATTTCAAGAATCAAGAAAAGATACAAATTTTTTGACAATATTATTGGCAAACCATTGAAAGCCAAAGCCTTGATCAGATTAACCAAAACTCCATTGGGTACTTCATTATCAGCCAAATTCATCAGAGGAAACATTCATAGATTAAACAGATCAATCATACTGCGGATACAATTCCCTGAGAACAGAGAAAGCTAAAAGTACCTTGCTTCTTTGAATTCTTCTTTCCACGGCCTTGAGCAATCCTCTCTAAACAATCTGAAGCACATTCATGGAAAGGGTTTCCAGAATATTTGCAATCCGGGTGAGCTTTCCGATTGATATCCATAGCTTAATCGATGTATAGATTCAATCAGATGCAAAAAAACTGCAATAAGATATTCAGAGAAGAAGCCTTATTAGTGTAAGTTGCAGAAAAGAACCAAACTCAAGAAGAAAAAAAGAAATTCAAGCATTTGTGGTTGAACAAAGTCAATTTAGAGTATGTAACAAAGGTCAAAACTTTAGACCTCAAATTCAATATTAAAATGAATAAAAAGAATCATACAACTATCATACAATACAACAACTCCACAACACCATTGGATCCACTTCTGTTTTTTTACCAACCATTCATGGTTTATGTCTTCAAAAAGCAAAAAGAAAAAGAGAGAGAAAGAGAAGCAAAGAAGAGGTAGAAAAACAAAATACAGAACTTTACCAATACACACATTAAAGAAACTTTGAAATTATTGTATCAGACGATCCCCACAACAATAAAAAAACAAGAAACAGTTACTGATTAAGACAACAGACCCACAACAACAATCTCTGTAAGAATAAAGCACCGATTTTTTTCGATCAAAGCTCCAAACTTTATTCACTCTTTGTGCATATATTTACAGAGAGAGAGATTTATGTACCGGGAAATTGGGAATGGTGGTGAAGAAAGGTCTTGAGCTGAGAAGAAGGAAGCGAAATAGAATTTTGTTGATCGATGTAAATTTACTAGTATATAAGAAGAGGTGATGTGTCTTTGGATACATTTTGATTTGACCGAAACCTTTTAAATATACAGAAGGAAAATTGTAGAGATTCGTTTGAAGATTCGACGAGATTGACCAAAATTAATATAATTGGCAGGAGAATGGAGATAAACGTTGCAATCAATGAAAGGCTTCCAGAAGTTGACAACAACGAAGCAAGGACGAAGAAAGGGGAACAAAGAAAGCTTGTTTCAGTTCACACCTACTAATTAACCAATTTTTTATGGTACATTATTGGTCACGTGTGAGACTCGTAGCTTCTATTTTCCAACCTCTCTTACAAAATTTAATAACCAGCATTTGTCACTTTCTTATCAAAATGGGGAATTTAGAACATGCCTTTGATTTTTGGGATTTTGGCATTCTATTGCACTATTGTTTTTTGTAAGTTTTATTTGATCTAATATAAGTTTCTAATCTATTTAGTAATGTATACGTTTTGTACTATTTTATAATACCCTTCCTTTTTCTTTCAAATTTATAATAGTCCTAAAAACTAATTTCAGCTGAAGCAAAAACCTTTAAAAATTGTAGACGTGTATGATTTTGACCCAATATAAATTCAATTTTTTTATTATGATATAGTTTATCTGATTTAATACGATGTCAGTTTTAGTTTGGATATATATACTGTTAAAGTATGTAAGATACGAACGACCAAAAGATGAAAGTTGTGCTACTTTTTTTTATCGACTACCTATCTACTAAGCTACGTTTTGATCGGTAAGATGATGATTCCGGAAAATCATCTCCCCCGATTCTGTCTGACTTATATGGAAGAATATGATACCACGTACTCGAGCTTCTTTAGCGAGAGAATCAACTCGGACGTTTAAAGCTCGAGGTATATGAATGATGTTAAAACCATAAAATGTCTCTCGAAGATGTTGAAAGGCGTTTAATTCTGAAGTGAAAGCCGGCCAATCGATCGGATTCTCAATTATTTCAATTAAACTCAAACAATCTGTCTCATTTCACTTAAATTCAAACAATCTATCTCAAGAAAGTTGTGCTACTTTATGTGGTGGCTTTTAGTGTTTGTTGGTGTTTGCATAAATCCGCGTTCGATCAATATGTACGCTTAAGTGGGTAGTCAAAATGTGGAGTTGCTAGAGCTAGGCTACTAGCATCTGAATACGGAAAAAAGTTATCTATCATTTAATCATTTTTGACAATTCGTTTGTGCTTCAAGATAAGATATATCACACATCATGCAATTGATCTAACGCCTTGCAAAGAAATATTAGATAAATTGTATAAGTTGTTATGTCGGTGCAGAGCCGGTCCTGACTTTTATAAGTTTAGAAACGGGAAAATTTGTTTGATCCTTTTTACATTTAAAACATGTTTATCAAAAAAATTGATTTTGCACATTAATTTCTTAAAAGAAAATAGTTTTAGAAAAAGAGGAAAGCAATGAAGTAAAAAAAAAAGTTTCGTATAGTTGGAAATAGAAATAATCACTAGTGAAATTTATAACTTGGAAGAATAAAAATAAAAATAAACTAGGTGGGGATCTGCGCTAAGCGCGGACTTGTGATATATATAAAACTGATTACAAAATTTCTTGAGGCGATCATTTATATGTAGGAAGTTTGTAAGATTATATACATTTATATGTAGGAAGTTTGTAAGTTATATATAATCTTTGGAAATGATATGTTTTAATATTCTCTTATATAAACATTTAAAATTTCAGAGAGTATGCATTGTTATTGTGATCTGCATGGTTTATAAACCCATAAATTTTGATAGTTTGATAATGATACATTTAAAAGTATCAATTTTTTGACAATCAGGACAACCATTAATGAAAAAAAAAGAATATCAATTATGAATCATAAGTAAACTAAAGTTTTATTAAACAAGCCATTTATTTAGTAAAAGTCTAAACCTAAACAAATAAAAAAAACTATCGTTTCCTCACATTCTGAAAGACGGCCTTGTATACTACGTTCAAAGTCTTGGTTTGTGGTGTATCCTTAGTATCCGTTATCAGAATCTTCAAACCAGTTCTCTAAGTAACACGTGATATAACCACATAAAGTTGTCTATGAAAAAAAGCAGATTTTGGTAAATACAATGCAACCTTTTGCAAAGTCTTTCCCTAACTTTTATTGATAGTCATTGCATAGGTGATGGCTATCGGGAATTGTTTACGCCTTATTATTAAAGGAAACCTTGTCTCGGTGGGAGAAACAAACATTCTTTTGATCAAAACTTTTTGACCAATATACTCCCCAGTTATGTGGCTAGCTTGAATAACATGTGTGGCCAATTGTGTTACCAAGAGTCTTGTTCCATTGCATAAACGACCTCTAGGATCAATATTCCGAAGCAACATAATAGGTGTTCCTATTTTCAATTTCAGTTCATGGTTCGGCAATCTTAAGATCTTAATACTATTAAGATATTCCTGGGTGTAAACTTTTTTTGTCAATCTTGCCCTTATCAGAAGTATTAATACTGTCTAAGCTAATATATGTATGTTCCTCATCTAGAAAAATATTAAACGAAGTTCACCAAATATAATTTAAAATAATGATATGAAGCTCATGTGTCACTACAAGAAAACAACTATTTTACATCGGAATATATCAACGTAAAATCAACGTAAAACGGAGTTTGCATCAAATTAGAGACGAAATTCAATTCATTGTAAAAGGAGCGTCGTAAAACTCAAATTGTCGTAAAATCAATGTAAATTTTGTCGGAAAAAAATTCCTTTTCGACACTAAATTGACGTAAATTCGATGTAACATTGATGTTACAACAATTACCCAATAAAAAAAGTTCATGTAAGATCATATATATATATATATGTATAAAGCGTTAAATATGTTTACCTTGTATTTCTGACAACATGTATTCGTTTATTAATCTCACGTCTGCATTTCTCGGGCTGAGAGTTGCTCTTTCTTGAAAAAATTTCGGGTCTCTCTCCGATCTGTATGAATCACCATACACTTCTCTTACTATCTCTTCAACAAGATCGACATATTATTTTATCAGTAAATCATCAAGGATTTCAATTTCGGCTTCATCGTCGTTAGTCGAATTAATTTTGCCATTGCCTACGTACAAAATCCACTTCGAAAAAGACTCTAGCTCATTAACTCGATCATCTTCAACACCATTTTGAAGCCTCATATTCTTGGTGAGTTCCAAAACCGTAAAACTGTCTCATAGAGTAGAATAATTTATGGTAGCCATAAGAGTTTGAGTGCTATTACCTCTGACAATAACATGCATTATTTGCCTGAAATCTCCACCAAATACAATGACTTCCCACCAAAAACGTCACCGGTTTTGAGTATATCACAACTACTTCTATCTAGAGTCTCAAAACAATATTTACTCATCATAGGAGCCTCCTCCCATATAATAAGCTTAGCTTCTCTTATCAAATCAGCCTGATGTGAATTGCTATTTATTGAGCACATTGTAGTTGAATTAACAGCAATCGGGATGCCAAATCTATAATGGGCAGTTCGCCCTCCTTGCAATAGCAATGATGCTATCCCGCTTGACGCAACATTAAGAACTATCATGCCTTTAGATCTAAGAGCAGCACCAAGAATACTCCACAAAAAAGTCTTACCCGTTCTGCCAAACCCATATACGAAAAACATACTACCAGTATAGTTGTTCACTGCTCCAATAATTTGATCATATATACTCCTTTGTTCATCGGTGATGGTTTTCAACCTTTTTTAATGTGCTGCCGTAACTTCTCACGATCATAACTTTTTTCTTCGAGAATAAGAGGATTCTTGTCTTTTTCAAAGGAACATCATCTAGGCGAGGCATTGTGTTTGTGTCAAAATTCTTTTAAGTACTTCCATTTCGATGCATATATTTTTCTATCTTAAAAAATGTGTGATTCTTCAACTGCATATCAGACATAATCAAATCTGTAAGGCAAGAGAAAAATCATTAATCTATTAGAATAGGAATAATCATTTAGAAAATATAAAAAAATACGTTTAGGAAATGTACTTTGATTCTTTTTCTTTCTTTTCATATTGTATAAGATATCATCGGTAAGATATTCCCACGTTGTCCATTTGAGAACGTTTTCTTTTCAAGGTGATAACATCTTCAGATTGATTAAACATGGTATCTTCTGGTGCATATTGCTGGTTCCTCGACGTTAATCCTACATAACCCAAATAGTTAATGTTTTAAACACTTGGTATTAAGATATTGAGATAAAGTTAGTAATATTAGGGATCATGTCACGTCTATTAAAAGTAGGACTTGGTTTTGGTTTTGGTGATCTTGGTCTATATTTATTTGGAGGCATCACGATCAAAGAACGAATACCACTTTATCCTGCAAATAATTAAAACTGTTAAGGACAACATTCAATGTATGAAAATTATATTATAAATTGATTGACTGAAACACACGAATATGGGACAGGAAGAAAGATAAACCCGAGATGCCTTGTTTTCTAATAAGGTGGCGTTGATGAAAACCATAGATGATTGATAAGGATCCGTATATAGAGGCGTTGAGTACAATTCCGGTAATTTATCATTTATTTCATATTTTTTTTTACATTTATAGTTAATATTTTATTTAAGTTACCGGGAATATATATATATATACACTCATAATCTATACTTCAATAATTGAGTAGAAAATAGCTCCAACAATATAATATCATCGAATCATGATAATGTTAGTTGTGATTTATCAGAACCCTAATAATGTAAGTTATAATTTTTGGCCGTAATAATGCTAAACCCTAATGTATATAGACTTTTTATAAATTTCTGAATTAATCTTCCTTTGCTCACGCAGAATTGTGAATTAGCAATGGTTTTCTCACTTTATATCCATGCAATTCTTGTGATTATAATCATGATTAAATGGTTCTCTCACACAGTTTATCATATAATCATCATCATGTAGGCATAGCCTACCATAATTATTAATTCTGAAAAGGTATAACTTCTCATCCTAGAATTTTTCAAAAAACTTTAGATTAAATCTCACTTTTTCCTATGTAGAAAAAAGATATAGAGACTATGAGTATATCAATAAAGAGTTAAAATTATTGTGTCTTATTTTAAGAATAATGAGAGGTATATATAGTGTTATAAAGATTTAGTTATGTTCACATCTTATTGATGTTGGCTTCTTAGCAATACTTAAACCCTATTAAGTTAATGGATCATAAATTATGGACCATCAATTTTTTACTTTTTAAATTAATATTTTGTTCAAGTTATTGGGGAACAAAATATTAGAATATTAATATTTACTTTTTTAGTTAAGATAGTAAATTATGGGCCATAGATGAAACTGTTAGAATAATTAATATTTTGTTTTTAGCTAATTTATAAGCATGTATAGAATGCTACACGCAAATATTCTATAATATCTTATAAAGTTAAATTAGTTTCTAGTTTTTTTTTGAATGATTTATGCATTTTTAAAAGTGTACCAAAAAGTAAGGAGAAAACAATATTGGCAGATTTTAGCTGTTTTTTTGGAGAAATTGATGTATAAAAAATAGTATATTAAGTGTTCAATTTAAAAATTTATCAATAAATTATTAAAAATAATTATAAATCATTTAAAAAAATCCAAGTATTAAGTGAACAACATACTATTGTAAACTTATTGAAATAAGAATATTGTTGCATAACATACTTTTAAAAAAGATTTAAAGATAATCCTAATAAAAGTTAACCTCTGAATAATAACTTCATTCAATGACATCAAAAAATACTCCTAGTTAGTGCTCGAGATCGTTTTATTGAATAGTATATGGTATTAAGCATAAATAAAAAATTTATTAATGATATATTAGTGAATTTTACATTTATTATTACGATGAGGCTAGTGTTTTCATTTTTGAGATATTAATAAATATAGCAGTTATTATGTGTAAGATTTGTGTAGAATCTTTGTTAAAGGAATTTAGGTAATAAACCAAAATTATGCCGAACAGTTTAGGGTTCTTGCTGTTGATTAATTTGTAAATATAACATTTTTTAGGTGGATAACATAATTTCATTAATCTTAAATTATATTTGATATTTTTTCGGAATAAAACCCTAATAAAACAATACGTTTTGGAGATGTCTATGGAATTGGTCATGAGTTAACTCTTGAATAATAAACCCTAATAAAACAATACAATCAATTTATTTATTTGATATCGTACATGCAATATATGAATAGTGTTAATAAACTTGAAGTGTGCATGAATCAGATATAAATATTTAGAACGATTATTTTAATAAACTCTTATAGATGAGTAAATTGACCACAATAAGTAGGGAAAAACGATTGTTTTAATAAACTATTACTAATAGTATATATATTTTTTTGTAATTATTAAAAACAAATTCTTTAAAAAATTATTAAATTGGTGGCTAAGATCGAGTACAAAATCGGTGGCTCATTTCATTGGCCTATTATAGAAGTAACAAATTCGTTGACCCATTATCGTAAGAAAATCTATGTGTTTAACATGTAAAATTAATGATTGACCAATAAAAACTAATTAAAATGACACATATTAATGATATGTAGAACGATCGTTGTGGATACGACACCTAAAATTTTTGACTTTACAAATAATAGTATAGATAAAGTGTTTAGTCTTACCTTAGAGAGATTGTTTACAAATGCACATAATTCCACAAAATATTAGTCAAATGAAAATTGAGGAACTCTTTCAATCAAATCATAAAAGATTTAACGCGTGTTGATGCCAAGATTGAGGAAATCAAGCCATAATCCTGTTATATTCGTTTGTTCACTCTACAGCGCATGCATGTTATGTTTGCTCCTTAGAACTAAACCGATCTCACGAGTCACGAATAAGTTTTCCGATGACATATTGACATCAATTATCAAACAAGCAATCCAACTTGCGATCACCAGCAATTGTCCGGAAAAAACAAAGCTTTCATTGGAATAGGGTCTAAATCTTTTTTTTTTTATTATTGTTTTAAGAGATAGCATGCCTCACATGGTATGACGGTAGTTGATTATTTTTGTTTTTTCATTTTTTAGTACTACTACACTTTTAACGTCATCTACTAAATACTACATTAACTAGTGTACCTGCATGCATGCATTTATCATTTACACATTTAAAAGAAAGCCACATGACACGCTTTTTCCCCCTTTCACATGAAAACTATGAAACCACTTTTCATTTTTTGCAGTGTTCTAATTATCTACTTGACGAAACCGTTAGAGACATATTTCAAAATAAAAAAAAATTCAGGCTGATGTTTCAATCTACCTGCTTTCGGAACTCTTGGCGGCTAACATTTAATTGATATTGTAACTATAATGGATAGAATAGTTCTCTATCTAGTGGAAAAAAACGTATTAAATATATATATTTAAAAATTGAATACATCTTACAATTATGGGGTTTTTGCTAAAAATAACTCAAAACTTGACTTTGAATACAAAAGTAGATCCCTGAAAAAACATTTGGCAGAAATAACCTAAAAAGATAGTGAAAAGACCATTTAATCCTATATGAGTAAACGAAAAACAGATGTCCTAATTACCGTTTACACCCTGACGAAGTCTACTAAAGTAAAAATGAAGTCTAATAGTAGACTTCATTTTATCGAAATAAAGTCCACTAAGTAATTAAATCTGTAAATTTAATTTTAAAATTTTTTACAAATTATTTTGGTATTAAATTTACATTCATAAATTCCGTAATCGTAACCCAAATGTACAGAAATTATTTTTTCATATTGGTAAATGGTAATGTATGTTTTTAAATTAAGTAGAAGTAAATTTATAATTTAGGTTTTAAAAGTTGTAGACTTCTATATTGAAGTCTACTAAACCGAATAAATTAACCTAACCGAAATTTAAACCGAAATTAAACCGGGAATAACTTCCCTTAACCAAGAGAAACTGCCTGTAACCGGGTAAATTTACCTAGACCCCGGAAAATTAGTAACCTTAACCGAAAAAAACTTACCCGAACCGTACGGAATTACCAGACTATATATACTGATTTTACAGATCCCGTTAAAAAAAACCGTCGAAAGTTCGTGTAAAAAAAAAAAGTCGAAGGCAATTTCTGTTTCTCTGCTCCGGCGCCGCCGACATACAGAACCGCCGCCGATAAACTCGTTCAGGCAAGTTTTCTTTCCTCAACCACACCCCCATGCTTCCCTACTCCTCCATATTCATCACCTTTCTGTTTTCGTAACCCCCAGTTTCCAAATCTGAAATTAGGGTTTTTTTTTTTTTGCAGATCTGCTTTCGCCGTTGGAGGTTAACGTCATTTCCTGCCTCAAAACGGTTAGTAGATGTTGTTCCGAAGTTATATACTTAGCAATTCTTAAATTTCTTCTATCTTCCTGTAATTTTTTCCGTCGGGTTTGACTTAGGTTTTTTTCCCATTATAAACTTTGTAGATTCCATTTCGATGATTTGTTTTAGTAGACTTCATATACCACATTTATCATGTATTGATTGCTTCGGTTGGGTTCTGTAGACTGCATATGCAGTATTTGTGATGTTTTGATTGCTTCATGTGGATTCCGTTGACTTAATATACTGTTTTTATGTTAAGATTGCTTCGGTTGGCTTCAGTAGACTTCTTGACTCGGATTGTACTTAGAATGTGAAAGTAGACTTCATTTTGTGAAAGTAGACTTCATTTTGTGAAAGTAGACTTCATTTTGATAAAGTGGACTTCATTTGATAAAGTAGACTTCATTTTGAAAATGTAGACTTCATTCGTGTATAGTTTCAAACCGTTACTAGTTTTTCTTATTAGAGCTTTGTTACCGTTGATGCAGAAATCTGTGTTAGATAATGGTGGCCTCTGAATTCCCTAGAAGACTGTACACCAAGGGGTTTGAGCCAGCCCCGGATAAAAGCATCGGCTATTATGCTGATGATTATAAGCTGGTCCATGCACTAAAGTTAGCTCTACAAGAGGATGAATGGGAAGAGATTTACGAGTCACCGTTGGGTGTCTTTTTAAAGTTCCACGACTTGGATTTTGGTTGGGCTTCTAGGCTGGTGCACCACATGCTGACCTTTCAGATAGTTTGCAAGCAGAGGTACGAGATATGGAGCCTGATTGGTACCACTCCAGTTTGATTTTCATTGCATGAGTTTGAGGAGATCACCGGACTCAACTGCGGGTACGTGGATGACTTGGCTTTAACTGATCCTGCGCTTGTCGATGATATGCGTGCATTTTGGGAGCTAATGGGGGTCGATGCCGAGTCGGGCCCAAGCACTACCGAAATTATCGAAGCCTGTTCCAACTGCTCATCATGGTCTCGGGATGATAGGCTGCGGTTGGGTTATCTTGGGATCTACGCTGGTTTCATAGTGGCAACGAGACTTGGCTCATCCACAAATGTCAACCATGCCAGACTAGTGATGGATCTCGAAGGTTTTAAGGAGTTTCCATGGGGAAGAATTGCTTTTCAGCATTTGATCAAGTCTGTTAAGGAGAAAGATCTCAGCAAAAACATTCATATAGAAGGATTTGTGCAAGCTCTTCAAGTGTGGGTGTACTATGCTCTACCGGATTTTGCTGCTGAATTTGGCGAACCATTGCCAAATGTTACTGAAGAACCTCTTTTGCTGGCTTACAAAGGATCAAGAGGACGAAAGAACATCAAAGCCAACATGCTAAAACAGGTATTGTATTAGTGTAGTAGACTTCTATGTAGTAATGAATTTTCAAAGTAGACTTCAGAAGTAGACTTCATGTGTAGACTTCTATATGTACCATTAATAGTGTGAGACATTCAGAAGTAGACTTCTATGTTAGACTTCAGGAGTAGACTTCATACGTAGTTTTCCGAGGCTTCATATGGCTAGTAATCCATTTACTTATTGTGTTTTTCCAGGCTCGCATACAGTGTTGCGTGGCTAAGAACTTGGCGGATATGTTTCTCGTGTGGGATGATGACGAACAGGATCCAGATATTGTCAAGATTGTCAATGCACTCCATGACCCCAATTTCAAGTTCTCAAAAAACCATTGGCCTTTGGAAGGTGTTTTGGGTGCACACATCGTCAAGGCAGAAGCCGGAAAGAAGAGCCTTCCCTCAGATGAATCAAGTCGCAAGAGACCCTGCACAGCCTCTGCCTCTGCCGCATCATTCGTTGGTGATGAAGGGGTCGGAGTTGTCGCTACTATGAAAGCGCACTTCGACCAATGCTTCAAAAGCTTTTCAACCAAGATGCTGAATGGTCTTGGTAGCTGTGAAAAGCAGATCAAACGCCTCACCGAGAAGGTTGAATCTGTAGAGCGTGCGGTAGAAGAGTTGACTACAGGGTCGGCGAAGCACACTGAGGAAGAGGTTAAAGACAATGTAGAGCCAACCCAGCAGCAAGGCACTGGATCCAAGAAGCATGAAGGGATTAGTACCAAAAACCCTCCGCCTATACGAAAACTTTACATGCGAACAAGATCACACAAAGTTAGGAACACTTAATACTAATGTCATTTGAATTCGAACATGTTTACTAGTGTTATGTACCATGTGAGATTATTTACTTATGTTTTCAAAACTAGTTGTTTACAATTTTTAGACTATGATAAAGCATGTTACTAAATTATAGCATTGGTGTACTCATTTGTATATTCATGCCTGTTTCTGACAATAAACTGCAGAGTAATTCAGATAAATATGATGCTCCGATGAAAGATAATGTCAACGTTGGTGCGTGTGAGAGTGTTAACGCCCCCGGGGATGCAAAAGGAAAGAAGGCTGTCGTGAAGGAAGAAGAGGCCCCAGAGCCTAATTTTTGTGAAATTGACCCGAAGACGTGTGATGTTGACTTTGACGCGGTTGCACTAGCCAAAAATGCCAAAGCCAGAGAAGCGGCTCAGATTGTTGCTCGAGCAACTAGTGCCAGACACCGCCAGCTGGCTGCGACACAGAAGAGTCCGTTCTTAGGAAACAGCACCACAAAGGCCATCATTCCATCGTCGGCATCTCACTCCGGCCGTGTCCGTGGATATGATCCTTTTGATCAAACCGGTGTCAAGGCGAAGCATATCACTCTAATGAACTTTATCAAATCAAACCCGTAAGTAGACTTCTATACGTATGTAAGTAGACTTCCTTATAGTATTATTTCCTATCTAACTTTTTCACTTATACAGTGCCTATCCAAAACGCCCAAGACACTCTTCGATCGAGTGGTATTACATTCTCCGGACACCGACGAAATGGCTAGCTGATACGGTTAGTGTTTTACTTTCTCATATTAGACTTCATGTTTAGACTTCATACGTAGACTTCTATAATAGACTTCGTTTGCATAATTTAGACTTCGTTTGCAGACTTCACTCATGTCTTATTTTCACCAATGTGCAGCACATGGAAGCTTACATTAACCTACTCATGCTGCGATTATCCAAGCATCCGGAGTGGTTTGTATCCGACCGGATTTGCTTCCTCAACTCCATGTTTGCTACTGTTTGGAGGCGTGACTACAAAGATTTCAAAAACTCTGACCCGAATGCAGATGGGTCTGGCAAACTTCTACCGCCTGGAGCATATTCGTACTACACTGGCGAATTACCTATCTACTGCCAGACTAAGAAGACGTGGGCATATGATGTCGACTATTTGTACTCCATGTTGCAAATTAGGGAGGACCATTGGGTAGCTATATGGGTCTCATTTGTGTCGAGGCATATCACGATATGGGATAGCCATGCGGGAACCAAATATGCATCTGATGAACAAATTGCCGAAGCTGTAGAGCCTCTTGCGGTTATGATACCCTACCTTCTTCAGACCTGTGCACCTGACGATGACAAGTGGAGATTCCCCTACACGCCGTTCACCCATTCGCGAGTACCAGGTACGGAGATACCTTAAAAAATTCAGAGTGGTGATTGCGGAATGTACTGCCTGAAGTACATCGAGTGTCATGCATTGGATTTGCCATTTCCTCCGGAACTTTGCGATAAAAACATTCGAAAAATCAGGGAGAAAATGGCTGCAGAGCTCTTTGACGAAACATGTTGTAGGGGCCATGATAAGCTAGATGCAACCGGGCTGGATGTCTATGATAGGAAAGCTTAGTGTTTCCATTCTTAAAACTAACTTTGATTTTTATGGCAACTTTTGGGCTACTTGCATAAATGACCTTCAATGTGATTGGAGGTCATTTTAGCAAATTGGTAGATGATAGGTGTGGAAGTTTTTTGGCCACCTATCTTATAATTAACTTGCCAAATATGTTGTATTTTCGTTTAGGATATTGTACTCAAACTGAAGTCTACGACTAAAGTCTTTGACTGAAGTCTACTAAGTTGTAATCGTAATTGTATTGAAGTCTACTAAGTCATTAACATGTTAGTATTTATAATTTTCGATTTCACCCTAACAACTGATTAAGTCCTGTAAAATATTATTGAACATGCGGAAAAGAGTATACAGAAAAGTGTATACGGAAAAAGTGTACACCGATAGTGTACACGGAAAAAGTTTTGTTAAAATAAGAATTATAAGTCTACAAACGAAGTCTACAAACAAAGTCTACAAACGAAGTCTACCATAGTCATGTAAACATATAAGTAAACCCAAAAAACATAAAACATGGAGTCAACTAATTTCACCGCGGCCATTCATTTGCAAATCCAGGAATTGTTTTCCAGAAGATGGCACATTCCAACTTCCAGAAGCAAGGACTGCAGAGTTTGTCACCATATGAGTCGACGAGGCTTTCATCATCCATCCAGTGCTGGTTTGGCAGATTCATACAAGCACAACTCCTTGATTGTGCCTTATCAAAAACATGGAAGACCGGTTCGTGAAACGCGTCAGGCTTCTTATAAGTGGTCGGACACCTGTTTATGTGCTACATAGTCTTCCTCATCTTCGTTGCCTCTGCTGGAACTATACCACGAATGTGGTTAAATACATCATGGCTACCATCCATGGTTAAAGAGAACATAACCATGGAGTAAGTAGCCATGAGGCATCCTCCATTTGATGACACCTTTATTAAATCAAATCCTTCTTGGATGCTATCTTCATAGAAGATTAGAGAAACGGCTTGTAGGTATTGCACTGTAGGATTTCTACACTCCAAACAGCGCTGAAAGAAAGCGTCAACCCTCCCATGTTGATCCCAGACCCATGGAATCGTCAGAGTAATTAGATCAACGGCTCTTAAAAAACCCTCTTCATTGGAAATCTCATTTAGATGTTTGGAGAAAACCCTTGCTTTGCAGAGCCCACGGTAGGAACGAGAAGTGATTTTTAAGAGGATATCGCACAGAATGTCGGAAGGGAGAGAGTTAAAGTTTATCTGGTTCGACATCTTCAAAGGGTCTGGAATGAGACTATAATTCGTCTAAACCCGAGAATTTATAAGCAGAAATACAGTACACAAACAGGTACAACGGTTATATGCACCGTTAAAGTCGTTAAAGCAGTTACATATATGAAGTCGTTTCAAACATAACCGTTAACAAAATATCACATACACAGTAGACTTCGACAGTAGACTTCCCCAATAGACTTCCCTAGTTGACTTCCATAGCAGACTTCTTTGAGAACAATAAATGCTTTGTCTTCCTATTCCGGAGCCTTCTTATTATATTCCTGGTGAATCTTCGACGGCTAAGTATATTAAATAAAAATTTCAACATTATTAGATGAGTTTAGCTCAACTTACACAATTCGGTAGGGTATGACCAGATTGCTTGCATTGGGAGCAGCTGTATACTTTGTGCAGCTTCCTTGGCTTCTTGCTTTTCCTCCTAGCAATTTCTAGCCATGATTGCCACCGAGACTTCTTCCGTCTGCCTGGTGCACGGCGAATGTCTGGTGGCAGACATATTGATGTTGGGCCTCCTTGGACCTCTGAAATTTGGGGATATATGTTGGTAAAGTATGCGGCAAACAAGTAGTTTTTTTAGTAAGTCGGACATACAAGGGAATCCACAGCTATCCCACCGGCTAATGCAGCTGCAATAGCATATGAACATGGGATCTTCTCGATATAAAACACACCACATTCACACATTCCATGTTCCAAATCAACAATACAATTCCTGGTTCCTCCTTTCACATAGTATCTCCAAGTGTCAATTCGGTCCACCTCCACTGCATCTGCATAATGTCCACGAATCGCCAGCAAATACTCCACTCCCCGAGTATTATGTGTTGTGAGACTCAAAGCATCCTCTCTGCGTTTTAAAAACCACCGACCGAGCTTCTCTCGTATGAAATCCAAGAGGAAAGAAATGGGATAGCCACGGGCCTTCTTAAGTGCAGCATTTATAGACTCTGCAACATTGCTAGTCTTAATATTGTATCTGTCTCCAACAAAATAAACTCGGGACCAAAGAGAGACATCGGCTTCTTCCAAATAGTCAGCAAGGTCAGGCTTGATCTGTCTCAGCTCCGCCATGTACCAGTTGTAGTCATAGAGGTTGTAAGCATAAGCCACACGTTTAACCAAGTACAACAACTGCTTCCCCCTAAACTTTGTTACTATGTTATGTTGTAGATGGTAGTAGCATATCCCTCGTTTTGCCCATGGAAAAATAGTTTCACAAGCTTTCTTAATATAAATATGTCTGTCAGAAACTATCACCAAAGGATAACCATCTGAGACACATTCACGCAGTTTAGAAAAAAAACCATTCCCATGAAGCATCATCTTCACCATCAACAATTCCAAAGGCCAAAGGAAAAATCTAAAAGTTTCCATCTTGTGCGGTGGCAACCAACAAAGTACCCTCGTATTACCCTGTTAGATGACATCCATCAACCACAACAAAACCAGCAATCGATGCTCCAAATGCGAGAAATAGATATTTGAATTTGTTATTCGAATCTACATGAAGAGCTGATATAGTTCCCGGATTGGCTTTGTTCACTGAATGTAGGTAAGCTGGGAGACTCGCATATCCATCTTCAGCTGTTCCCCTGACCAATTGTTGAGCATATATCAAAGATCTGTAAGAGGTAGTGTAATCCATCTTGATGCCAAACATATGCTTCATTGAAACCCTGACATGTTCTGGTGTAAGTCCATCAATGATGCCCAAATGGCTTATAAACAGCTTGCCAATATACTTAGGAGTAGACTTCCCATGGTGAGCCATTCGATGGGCTATTGAACATGTGTGGTCTTTCACATATTTTGTCACCCAAAAAGTGGATGCATCATTCTTCACGCTCGCTCTAACCATCCAAGCACATCCTTCCACTCGACATCTAGCCACAAACAGGATCTTGGTAGACTTCTGTGTTTTAAAAGCAAATTTTAACATTATCGCAGTCAGTCTAACCTCTGATAACAACTTCTCTTTTGTAGGGAAACTTGCCCTAACATATATATTATCAGACCATGACATGGGCGTTCTCCCTGTTTCACCATATCGGTTTCTGACCTTTTCAATACAGACTTTATCTTCATCATCATCTTCATCTTTCACTTTACCGTAGACACTGTAATCTTCTCCGTCAGAGTAAGTTGCATCGTCGACATCTTCTCCATCCTCGTTCACATCAGAACTGTCTGCCTCATCATCGGTAGAATGTTCTGAATTTTCTTCAGACTCCTCACCTAAATCTTCATCTGGTCCTTCTTGGTTCTCCTCAGTATCCATCTCCACTCGACTGGACACACAAAGACGTAACAAATGCACTCTGCTTAACGCAATCAAGCTTAAAACTTGTCTATCATTGGTGACATGCATTGGAGGTGTATCTGGAGCCATAGTTTGCAACATTGATACTGGTAGTGCGTAGGTTAACTCGATGATCTCAGTCTTCTTGCCCAAGTTATAATCATCTCGCGCCATCTCAGTAAGCTGCCCCAAGGTGCAACCATCGTTCAAAAACCACATTCTTCCACCTTTGCCCATGTCAACAACAAAATGCCATGAATTCTCCTCAATCTTCCACTCACCGTACACAACTGGAATTTGAGCCATTCTCTGAAAAAATAAGCATATAAACCATATTAGCAAACACTGCATAGAGACTTTTTGTATCAAGAGTAGACTTCACTACGAAGTCTACTTTGATAAGCTAAGTACCTTAAAAATCGAAACTTCTGATTCAACAATAAATATCCAATGAAACGAAATAAAATTCACTAGGTAGTTTAATCACTTACTAAGAAACAATTCTAAACCAAAAAAATTGAAAAATAGTTTATAAATTTGCTTAAAACGCGTTTTTACAAAAACGTCAAAAAGTAGACTTCTAAGGCAGACTTCGAATGTAGACTGGAGGAGAAGTCTACTTTTATAAGCTAAGTACCTTAAAAATCGAAACATCTGATTCAACAATAAATATCCAATGAAATGAGATAAAATTCACTGGGTAGTTCAATCATTTACTAAGAAGGAATTCTAAACCAAAAAATTTGAAAAATAGTTTATACATTTGCTTAAAACGTGTTTTAAAAAAAACATAGGATAGTAGACTTCTAAATCAGACTTCAAATGTAGATTGGAGGAGAAGTCTACTTTTTCATTGAGAAGTCTACTAAAAAAAAGGTCATTTTTGCAATTGACCAATCTGTTGACTTTTCCTCCGGTAGACTTCAGGAGTAGACTTCAGTCAAAAAAGGTTACTTTAGCATTTGACCGATGCATTGACTAACACAGTAGACTTCTATTGTAAACTTCATGTAAGAGTAGACTTCTCTGACAGTCTACTTTTGAAGTCTACTTTTTAAATAGAAGTCTACGGAACAAAATAGGTTATTTTTGCAATTGAATTTTTTTAGTAGACTTCACAATGAAGTCTACTAAAAAAAGGATTCCTTCTAAGTTTGACCGAACACCATAAGTAGACTTCACAAAGAAGACTTCTTTGTGAAGTCTACTGAAGTTTTTTAGAATTTT